CAATTGTATTTTAAAAGTTTTCCAATATTTGTTTTAAAATCTCTAGCAGTTTTTTGAGCCTACTTCCTCCTTAGCATCTGCTTTTTCCATCTGTACAATTGCTAGACAGGTTTCACTAATTTTAATGTATGTTGCACCCTATTAAAATTAACAGATCTGTTTTTGTTATTTCGCCAAAAATTAACTGCATTTGTTTTGTATTCTAGATCTATGCATATTTTTCTAGATTTGTTGCCAAATTTTACATTAATATAATCATCTCAAAACTCTTCTTCAACCACTAAAGGCTCAGGAACTTCATTTTCGTTCGAAAACGTTAAAGTATTGTAATTTTCTACAAACAGATCTGCGTCAATAGCTTCTTTTATTAAATTTTTTAAATTACTTACTAATTTATTTTCATCAACTCTAATAATACTATCTATATTATATTCAGGACCATCAAATCTTTGATATAATAAACATAAAATATTTTTTGGGTTCATTCTTATTATTTTTAAAGAACGATATCCTGGCACGAAAAATATTAATTAATGACAAAGTACCTTTCTACAAACCTACAATATAAATAATACAAAGAAAACTACAAATGATATACTTACAAGAAACTTCAAATATCGTAAACTTCTTTAAAGCTTTCACAATTATAATTATTACATAAATATACCATAAATACCACATAAATGAGCACAATTTTTTGAGGAGGAGTTGATTTGAGAAGTGTCCTGAATTAAAATTAGAAAAAAAGGATAATTCTAAAGAGGTAAAAGAAAAGCGATTTGAAACAAAAGTAACATTAATGCAAGAGATGCTGACTTATGGCCATCCACGAGATGATTTAATAAGTACTGATGAAGAGAATATGGATGAAGCTCTGTTGTGTAAATTGAAATTTATGCTCAAAAATTTTGTAAATTCTATTGCAGACGAGACACACTACTAGATATGGTTTATCAATGTTTCACATTTCAATACTTTTACAATTTTATTACATTACAATTTTATTGTCAATGTAACCATGGATTGGCCGTTCCCGCCTGGGTAGCTTGCAGTAGTCCGCACAAATTATTTATTTTGAGGATTCGGGAAGCAAAAGACGTTCCCACGACTGAATAATGCGTCGAGCAAAACCACGTTAAACGCACGGATTAGGATTCGGGATGAGGAGCGACATAGCGGCGAATAAATACAACAGCGGATTAACACACTAATCCTTTACTCGTTAATAACAAGTTTACAAGACAGCGATCTTAAGCCGATAGACTATGAGCGGCACAACAAGAAATCGCGAGCGCAAAGGTGAATCGGTGGCTGGTTAGCTTGCCGATTCCCTTTTAAACCTAATTATTGCAATTAATGCCCGATAAGCAATCCCGCCGTTAATTTAGCTGACGAGGTAGCTAGCATCATCTGACACACTAGCCATCCATCAACTGGTGCCCAAACATGCAAGAGAGAGAGAGAGAGAGAAAAGAGAGAACACGGCACCGACCTCGACTGTCAGCCCCTCTGGCGGCTGGAACACGTCGTTGGATGACGTCACTGATGCGCTGCTTCCCGATGAGTGCCTCCTTGGTGTTATTGCTGTTCGTTCCTTCGCTCGACCTTTCGCTCGCTCCACAAATATTGCTGCTCCAAAATCGTCGTTGTTGTTGTTGGATTCGATGCGATTGCTGTTCCTGCTGTTGAGCGATGATGACTGCTTACGCGCGCACCCACGCACCTCGCCGGCTACCCACACGTACCAATGCTGGGTATTCTTTGGGACACGACTGGGCGCGACCTAGCCACAACACCCCGTTTCTCGTCCGCGCAGCGGGCGTGTCTCCAAAAACAAAACGTTAGCGAAGTCGTGTGGATGACTCCGGAAAACTGTTGGAAATTTGGTTAAATCCACGCGTGTGACGATCTCTGCTAATGCCCAGCAGATACTCCCCCAAAATTGACGCGGAGATTCACAACTGGAGCGCTCTCTCTCTCACTTTCTCCTCTTCTTTCTTCGGTGTCATCTCGATCGCTCTATCCGTTACTTCAGCCCGTACAGTGCACCTCGAACATAAAATCCAAGCATGAGTATGCATGCGACACGCACACACTCTCAACTTGACGCGGTGCACAGACATTGGCGAGAGCCAAACGGACGGAATCGATCTAGCCGAGATTCTCCGTTACAACAAGTGATTATATAGTTTAATGCAGGACATTAAATCTAGGGATTGAACAAATTGAAACAATTCATTTTTGAATGTTGAGTATAATCGACAACATTGATAAATTTATTTTATTTAAGTAGATTTTATAAAAAATACTTATAATATAAAACAAAGTGTGAAATCAAAATTTTACAATACGCAGAACGTAACGATAAATATTATAAATTACTTTTATGTATCACTGTCGCCATAACCACATAACAATTATTTTTATGTTGGAGAAAAAGCTGCTTCATTAGGCCAAATTTTCTTTAAGAAGGCTTGCATAACCACCAATACTGACATGGATGATTTTCTTTTCAGTTTTCCATTTGGTAGCACAAGTAGCAGTATTTCCAGTACTAGTTTTTGTAGCTCGTTTTGTTGACTTAACTTTATTAACTAGATTCTGCATCTTTACTGTAGTTATTAACTTTAAACACTTCTGTTGGCTCATTCCCCGGCATTTCTTTAACTTTTATGGTAGACTCTGAAAATTTTACAGTACTTTAGTGATAATTTATACAAAATAATTTTTTTATAGGTTCTACTGTATGTTGATTGTTATTCATGTTTTATGCGAAGGATTGAATCCAAATAGAATAAACTAAACATTCAAATCGGTATTATATTGTATAATTTTCATTGATGTATTTTACCTGCAAACAAATCTTTAGGTTTTGATCCAACATTAACTTATCCAGCCATAAGAAACAACTATCAAAATCAGCAGCTCCAGCTGCAACATTCTCTGCAAAATTGTTTGTACTGATAAAGAATATTGGCAGATGAATTGAAACTTTAAATAATCCTATAATTTATACAATAAATGATCTTAATAATAGACTCTGACAACTAAACCCCCCCAACCCGATCTAACCGATTTCAATAATATTTTGATGTTATAGTTAATAAAAAAATAAGACATACGTCATTTTTATCGGCTGAAAAACACCATGAGAGAATGAACACGGTCGTCATAAGTTCACCCTACAAAATGGATTATTCAATGTATTTCAGCTTATACTTGATATTTTACGATGAAACAAATTTTATATCACTTTTTATTTGAATACAAAACTAGTGCGTGCAATTTCGACCATAAGAAGTGCAACCCTTATTTTTTTCATTTAAAATTCTACCTTATTCATGACTAATATTATGAAAAAAAATCAAAATAATCCAAAAAAAATTGGGAAAAATATTACCGTGTATAAAATACAGAAAAAGATGTTCGAGCTTAATCTTCAAACCATCCCCAAAATATGTTTTTCGATATTCCGTGCGCAAAGTGCGTCTTCCCGCACGTTCGGCCGAAAACGTACATTGAAAATCGCACTTTCCACACGTCGTAACAAAAAATACGGTACGGCACATGTTTGAGAAAGAGTTTGTCGTCTCGTGTACCTTTCCACCCGCACTTGTATCTGACGTACTATTTCGATACACTATAGGTTCCAGCTGATAATTTACTATAAAATATATTGTGCATCATTTATATTGTATAAATACAACTGTCACATGTAGTTTCGACCACAAGGGCTGCAACCCGTATTTTCTTTCATTGAAATTTCTACCTTCTTCGTGTCTATTTTTTGAAAGAAGTTCACTATGAGCCAAAAAGTTGGATGAAAATATTACCGTAGATAGAATACAAATACAAAGTGGACGAGATTATTCTTCAAATCACCCTCAAAATTGGAAAACCACCCCTTTCAAGTAGAACCTATAGTGTACGAAAAAACATTTTGAAAGGGAAGAGGGACTTCAATTTTGAAAGTGGTTTGAAAAATAATCTCGAACAGGACAACTTTATTTTTGTATTCTTTCTACGGTAATATTTTTTTGGCTTATTATGAATTTTTATTCAAAAAATAGGTAAGAACAAGATAAAAATTTCAATGAAACTCTCGTGCAACTCTCGTAGACGGAACTACATAATGTAGTTGCATTTGTACATTATAAGTAATGTAGAATGTATTTAATAATAAATTATTAGCTACAACCTGTAGAGTGTATCGAAAAACATATTTGGTGGTCGGTTTTTCAATTCTGAGTGTGGTTTAAAGAATAAGCTCGATTAGGTTAAGGACGTTCAATCGCTCGCAGCCGTACTCAACCTACAAAAGAAATGTTTGCACAATTTTCTCTAAATATCAGTCACGAAAGCGCTGAGCACCCTTGAATTCGCAGATGACGAAACCACGTTTATTGCGTCGATTTTGTAAACTTGGCATCGTTGCAATTTAAACTGCTTGCTTCGCCTCGTGTGATTCATAGTACCTAACCTTTTATTAGTAATGAAAGGGGAGTGTAAATATTGAAATTTAGAAGTAATAAAAATGTCTGATAGATTCAGAAAGAGTAATAGGTCTTTCATCACTAAAAAAATGTCAGAGCGCAGCCAGAAATGTTTAATGGCAATGTCGGAAGCAAAAAAAAACGCAAAGTAAGTGATGTTGAAGCGACTGAGATGGTAATGTGGCGAGCGCACCGAGCATTCGAACCAACATTCGAACGTGGTTGAGAAACAAAAGTGTGAGCACAGCAACGAACATTCATTTCGTTTAATGAAAAAACATTTCTATAGTTAGTCTGTCAATTGTATTCCTAATAAATAGACGGTGTAATATTAACCAATTGACTTATTACTAATAGGAGTAAATACTCGAATAAATAGTCATTTATTCCTATATTGGTGACCCCGACAATAAAATTATGTTACAATTCAAGCCTTGGCGAGAATTGTGGTATTTTGTTGGTGAATTTCCTTTTCGCCATCGTAGAAGATTATAGCCTCATCACAAGATGCTTCGCGACGAGGGTCAACTTGTGGTTCTACGTGAGGAAAACGAACTGCTTCAACGAAAGATCGAGCAACTACGTCAACAAATGGTGCTGCAGGAACCACCACCGCAGCAGCAGCAACTACAAGAACAACAGCAATTGCAGCCTCAAGGCGTCATTGCTGACACCGTCAACCAACGCCATGCAATACATCGTGTCGCTGTGAAATTGCCGCCGTTTTGGTCAGATAAACCAAGCTTGTGGTTTGTTCAAGCTGATTCTCAATTCACGCTTTCTGACATCACTAATGAAGTAACAAAATTTCATTACGTTGTTTCTCAATTAGACGCTCGCATTGCATTGGAAGTCGAGGATGTTATTAAAAATCCTCCTCAATTAAATCCCTACACATATTTACGCACAAAAATAATTGAACGATTATCTGCGTCTGAGGAACAACGTGTCCGCCAACTCATTAGTGCGGAGGAGCTAGGCGATCGTAAGCCTTCCCAGTTTCTTCGACATCTCCAATCCTTTGCTGGTACAACTATTGTGCCGGATAACCTCTTACGTCGACTTTGGCTTCAACGTCTTCCGCAAAACGTCCAGGCTATCATTGCACCACAGTCTGAGTTGGCGATCGATAAACTTTCTGAGCTCGCCGATAAAATCATCGAAGTTTCGCCTTGTCCTCCGAATTTCTCGGTCAACGCTGCATTGAACAACAAAGGTACTGAAAACGATTTATTAAAAGCGGTTGCTGAACTGCAAAAACAAGTCGCTGAATTGGCTGCTTCTCGTTCACGTTCTCGAAATCGTCACGGTTATCACCACAATTCTCGTAACCGAATTAAATCTCAAAACCGGGACGATTCTTCTAACAAAAAAACAGACGAGGTTTGTTGGTATCACAAAAAGTGTCAGCAAAATGCTAAAAAGTGCGTCAAGCCTTGCAAGTTTTTGGGAAACGACCAAAACGGACCAAACGGACGGTCCTGGCAATGGATCACGCATTGTACGATTGAAAACGCTTAGTAAAAATTTAAATTGTCATCAATGCGGAGATCGTCTCAACCTAGAAGATACTGTAAAGGAAAAACTGAACGGTAGCCACTCAGTACTGGAAGTTGTTTGTCATAAATGTTCAGTAAAAAAAAGTAAATACAGGCTCTATAGTAAATAAAATTCCAATGATAAATACAGCATTGGTATTTGGTAGGTATTTTTTGATTTTATGTAATTTAATAATAATGTAATAAGTGAATTAGTTCAAAGCATGTGTAGTAAAAATCATAGTGTATATATATATATATATATATATATATATATATATATACAGGGTGGACCATTTTAAGTGAGCCAGTACGTTTTCTCGGAAACTAGTGGGGATAGCGAAAAATGTTTCAAACAAAAGTTGTCCAACTTGGAGGGGGACATACCCTCATGACCTTGCCTGTGTCCTTGGATGTAAGGTTCAAGGTCATTTCAAGGTCAACTTTGTTTTCTTAAACGGGACCCTCTATTTTTGACCCTGGATTTGGAAAGAACGGGAAATTCTACGTTCAGATGACCTATTATACGTGGGGTCTGGGGTGACCCTCAAGGTTATTTGAAGGTCATTTTTATTTTTTTACGAGTGTAAGATTTACGAAAAATAGTTTCATACAAAAGTTGCTCAACTTGAGGACATACCCTTATGACCTTGCTTGTGACCTTGGAGGTCAGGTTCAAGATTATTTTAAGGTCAACTTTGTTTTTTTAAACGGGGCCCCTCATTTTGACCCCGGATTCGGAAAGCGTTGATTCGCCCCTTTTATCATATGCTAGCGCAAGGCCGTATGCTTTTCTAGCTTAACCATCCATTTTACCCCATAAAAGTAACATTTACCGTGAAGATAGAATATCTGTCATTGTATGGTTTGGCTTATCGATTCTCTTCATTCTCCCAAAACAAAAATTATTTTTTAATACAGCAGCTTAGTTTATTCGTTTATTTCACTAAATAAAGATTTTGTGTTCATTGAAGATAATTTTTTTGTTACAAATTTTTATTAAAAATTAAATCAAAAGCTTTTTGTTTCGGAGTATGTCGGATTATACTGCGCGTGAACGTGTTGACATGATTATTATTCTTGGTCTAGCCGGAGGGAATTATCGTAGAGCTGCAAGACTTTATCAAGAACGTTTCCCGTACCCAAGACACCCTAATCTTAACACCATTCGAAGGGTTCATGTGAAAGCTCAACAAGGACATTTATTTCGTACGCGAAGACATCATACTTACGATGAGAATGATGTTCGCATACTTGTGATATTGGCAATTATTCATGACAATCCTCATATTAGTACATTACAAATTCAAAGAGAAACTGGCATACCAAAACAAACTGTCTTGAGAATTTTGAGAAGCCAAAAATTCCGACCATATCACATCACTCTCACTCAAGCCATCACACCAGATGACATGGAAAGACGACTGGAGTTTTGTCGTTGGGCAAGAGAAATGATTCAAAACGACAGAACTTTTTTCCGTAATGTCATGTTCTCTGACGAAGCTACATTCAAAAATAATGGGGAGCTCAACAGGCACAACTGTCATTATTGGTCAGCTGAAAATCCTCATTGGCATCGACACATAGATCATCAGCATCGTTGGAGCGTCAACGTGTGGTGTGGCATTATCAATGAACATGTGATTGGACCTTACTTTTTTGAGGGAAATGTCAATGGGGAAAACTTTTCTCGATTTTTACAAAATGAAGTAGATGCACTACTGGAAGAAGTTGACCTCCAAACAAGACTGAGAATGTGGATGCAGTTAGATGGAGCTCCTGCGCATTTCCACAGAAATGTTAGAGCTTACCTGGATAACAGATTCAATGGTAGATGGATCGGTCGCGGTGGACCAGTTGCATGGCCACCACGATCTCCCGACTTGACATCTCCTGACTTTTACTTACGGGGATACTTGAAGAATATCGTTTATCAAGAACAACCAACTACCCGAGAAGACATGATGGATAGGATCAGGATCGCATGTCAGAACATACCGCAGGATGTACTACTAAGGACAGTAGATAATTTTCATCGGAGAATTGAATTATGCATTCAAGGAGAAGGAAATGTCTTTGAACACTTACTGTAAAATATTTCACATGTAATTAATAATTGATTAATTTGGTAAATAAATAGTAAATCTAAAATACTTTAATCACTTATCATCTTTATCACATTACGACCATGAATAAACAGGGCAACATAGACCGCACACGTGACGGCTAAACAAGACGTTGAGTAGAATTTCCGGTCTTTCCGAATCCGGGGTCAAAATGAGGGGCCCCGTTTAAAAAAACAAAGTTGACCTTGAAATAATCTTGAACCTGACCTCCAAGGTCACAGGCAAGGTCATAAGGGTATGTCCTCAAGTTGAGCAACTTTTGTATGAAACTATTTTTCGTAAATCTTACACTCGTAAAAAAATAAAAATGACCTTCAAATAACCTTGAGGGTCACCCCCGACCCCACGTATAATAGGTCATCTGAACGTAGAATTTCCCGTTTTTTCCGCATCCAGGGTCAAAAATAGAGGGTCCCGTTTAAGAAAACAAAGTTGACCTTGAAATGACCTTGAACCTTACATCCAAGGACACAGGCAAGGTCATGAGGGTATGTCCCCCTCCAAGTTGGACAACTTTTGTTTGAAACATTTTTCGCTATCCCCACTAGTTTCCGAGAAAACGTACTGGCTCACTTAAAATGGTCCACGTCCACCCTGTATATACAAGGTGTCAAGTAACGGAACAAGGCTGTAGCTTTTTAGGTACAGATTATTAGACCAAGGTCAAGGTCATTCCTTTAGTAACTTTCAACGCGGAATCCGATGGTGACCTTGGATTTGACCTTGAGATTGACTTTCAAGGTTATTTCAAGGTCAACTTTGTTTTTTTAAGTGGGAACCCCTATTTTTGACAACGGCAATCGAAAGAGCGGAAAATTTTACGTCCAAAACGGTATTTTTAAATTTTTTTTCATGGCCTTAAGAAGGTCGATTTAAGGTCAAATGCTTGAAAAACTGCCTAAAAGCGTTTTTTTAATTTTTAAGATATCGAAAAATGACCTCTACAAAATTTGTTCAGAACAGAGTGGGCCACCCAATGCACCAAAAACCTTTGACCTTTAACCTCATTTTGAAGGTCATTTCAAGGTCGAAGTATTTTTTGTAATGGAAACCCCTCTTTTTGACCCCGGATTAGCACATAGCGCGAAATCCGACGTTTGGATAAGGTATTATGTTGAGTTTCGATTGATCCACGACGTTCATCGCTAAGGTCCTGTGAAATTTAGATCCAATATTATTCGCGAAACATTTACAAAATGTTTCGGGCTAAATTTATTAAATTCTACTGAGAGCATGTTACAGTGACCTTATCTTTGACCTTTGATTGTTTGAATAATAAAGTAACGGGTTATCCAAACCGAAAGTCAAGTTGTTTTAAATGAGGAGCAAGCAGAGACATAGGTACAGTTTTTTTGCCGGATAAGTTTTTTCCACTCACTGCGTTTTGAATGTTTCTTTCTGATTTCGCGCTATATGCGAATCCGGGGTCAAAAAAAGGGGTTTCCATTACAAAAAACACTTCGACCTTGAAATGACCTTCAAAATGAGGTTAAAGGTCAAAGGTTTTTGGTGCATTGGGTGGCCCACTCTGTTCTGAACAAATTTTGTAGAGGTCATTTTTCGATATCTTAAAAATTAAAAAAACGCTTTTAGGCAGTTTTTCAAGCATTTGACCTTAAATCGACCTTCTTAAGGCCATGAAAAAAAATTTAAAAATACCGTTTTGGACGTAAAATTTTCCGCTCTTTCGATTGCCGTTGTCAAAAATAGGGGTTCCCATTTAAAAAAACAAAGTTGACCTTGAAATAACCTTGAAGGTCAATCTCAAGGTCAAATCCAAGGTCACCATCGGATTCCGCGTTGAAAGTTACTGAAGGAATGACCTTGACCTTGGTCTAATAATCTGTATCTAAAAAGCTACAGCCTTGTTCCGTTACTTATTTGACACCTTGTATATACACTATCGGTAAAATGGACCCTTCAACAGCTCTTCAAACGGATGTCCCAAAATTTTTTCTCCATTCAAAGTATAATCACCTTCACTATTGCCATCAACCATTTTTTGTAATAATTGTCATTATCTTCGTAGTCATATACAATAGAAGATTCTAATACATTTGATTCTAGCATTGTTTTTTGACAAATTGTTGCCTCTCAATCATTGCTTGTACTATTGAAATAATGAGATTTCTGATTGTCCTCCTGTAATATCTCATCGAAACTAACGTTTGATTTGAAGATCCTTACAAATCAATTTTTTTTCCTTTAATTACTGTAACGGTCCTATTTATGAGCTATTTATTAGATCACTGAATTACCGCAACCAGTCTAACACATCTATCTGTTTATTCAAATTAATACATTAAGCGGCGCTACCTCACTGTTTACTCGACTATATTCATGTAAGAGTCAAATCAAAATAAATAGAGTGACGTCACAAAGTAATAGATATAGTGTGACGGTAAACGTCTTATTAGCGCTAACAGCCCAATCATGCGGCTGCCTGTGAGGGCAGCACCTACCGGTTGGGGAAAATGTGTAATGAGGGAATTCGGCACGAGACGAGACGGAATGCACGAGTATGAAAATGAACTAGTCGAGGATTAGAATCCGCACACTCAGCTGCAGCAGAAATTAATAAGTGTTTTTCCCGAGTTTTCTTGAAGTGTCGACACGAGCTGATAAGGAGCGACAGGAGCTGTGCCTTCGCCTGACTGAGACGAGTGCGTGCAAGTATGCGTGAGTGCGGGGTTTCGCCATCAAGGGCGAAACCGAAAGCGTGAACCGCTTGGTCACAGACGCGGACTTCCCCGAGACTTAATCACGAACATTTTCTCTCGTTCTCCGTGTGACTGCTAATAAGGTAAGCTGGCCAGCTTAATTTCGTGATTGCTATAATTGCTATTAACTAATATTT